CTACTACTATTACGTCTACTACTACTACTACTACTACTACTACTACTACTACTACTACTACTACTACTACTACTACTACTACTACTACCACTACCACTACTACTACGACGACTACTACTACTACTACTACTACTACTACGATTACGACAACTACTACGACTACTACGACTTCTACTGCTACTACCACTATCACTACGGCTACGACTGTTACTACTACTCCTACTACCAGTATTACTACTACTACTACTATTACTACTACTACTACTACTACTACTACTACTATACTACTACTACGACTACTACTACTACTTACTACTACTACTACTACTACTACTACTACTGCTACTACCATACCACTACCACTACCACTACTCCTACTACTACTACTACTACTACTACTACTATACTACTACTACTACTACTACTACTACTACTACTACTACTACTACTACTACTACTACTACTACTACTACTACTACTACTACTACTACTACTACTACTACTACTACTACTACTACTACTACTACTACTACTACTACTACTACTACTACTACTACTACTACTACTACTACTACTACTACTACTACTACTACTACTACTACTACTACTACTACTACTACTACTACTACTACTACTACTACTATTTCTGCTATTACGACTGTTACTACCACTGTTGTTGCTACTACTCCTACTCCTACCACCACTACTATTACGTTTCCTCATATTTATCCTTCTCCTCTTCCTGCTACTGTCCTTCTCCTCCTCCTCCTCCTTCTCCTCCTCCTCCTCATCCTCCCCCTCCTCCCCCTCCTCCCCCTCCTCCTGCTCCTCCTTTTCCCTCTCCCCGTCATCGTCCACATCCTCCTGCTCCTCTTGTTCCACCTGCCCTCCTCATCATCATCCTCCTCTTCCTGCCTCTTCTCGTTGTCCTGTTTTGGATTCTCCTCTTCCTCGTCCTCCACCTCATCGTCCTCCTCCTCTTCCTCCTCCTCCTTGTGTCTCTACCCGTATGGGCGGCGAACAAGCACACCCCATGAGTACAGCGAGAACGCACCGCCACAGCGCACCGCGGTCAACAGTCCTACGTGAGAAGACACCAAAGTATGCCCCGAGGGGGGGCAGGAGGAGCAGGAGGAGGAGCAGGAGCAGCAGGAGGAGCAGGAAGGGGAGGAGGAGGAGGAGCAGGAGGAGCAGGATGAGGAGGAGGGCTGGGTGGGGGCACGCATCGACCCCCCAATCGCCCAGGATCGCGCGGCTCCGCGATCGGGATTTCATTGCCGATTATAATCCATCGGTGATGTGCCCCCGGTTCTTAAGTAAACGCTTCCCCCCTGACCCAGCCCCCCCCCCTACCCATTACTCCCGCCAGCCGTCGTCCCACGCTCATCCCCCCATGTCCATCCTCATCGTCCAGGCGCGTGCTTTACAGAAGGAGCCACACGTCAATGTGAAGAGCGATCGCGCATGCAAGTTTCATTGAACAGGAAGGGCAGATGATTAGCACGACACAACAAGGGGCAAGGGCGAAGGAGCGACTGGTGACAGTTTCCCAAGACCACGAATACCATGAAGAAGCCCAACGGAAACAAACATGCAAAACAAACCAAAACAAACAAGGGGGGCAACCTGTATGAAAGCGACTAACTGAACCAATGAGGCGGGGCCCAGAGACAAAAGGGATTGGCAGGGACCATTTTGGCGTTGTGGCCGAATGTGTGGACCCTCCCCCACCCCTTTCCCCAAACGAGACAGAGAAAGAGAGAGAGAGAGAGAGAGAAAAAAAAAAAAACAAAAAAAAAAAAAAGATACAGAGGGAAAGGGAGATGAGGAAGCAAGGAAAGTGTAGGAGTTGAAGAACAGATGTGTGGTAGCGGAGCCCCCACGCGCCTGGTCAGCCCAGCCGTCGTCCTCGAGGCCGACGTACTCGCCCTCGCCCATCGCGTCCGCCGCTTCTAGCTTGCCGTCAGCGGGCGTAGCCAACCCCGCACCCTCCTCCACCTACGCTCCACGGGCTCGGCGACGCCGAGCGCGCCGCCTCCTCCGCTTGGTCGGCGAAGGCGCAGGCGCCGCGGGAGCAGCAGGCGGGGCCGCACGATCTCCACCGCCACGATCATCACCAGCCTCGGGGGCCACGCCGAGGACCGCCACCGCAGCCCCGACCAGCCCCTCCGCCGCTCTCGGGAGGCGGGGGGCCTCTCGGCTCTCGCCTGCACCGAGGCCCGCAGCAGCGCGGGCCGCCACGGGGGAGCCGCGCGCAGCCTCCAGGGCGGCGCGGCGGGTCGCCGCACGCAACGGCATGGCGCGCAGCGAGGGGCGGGGCTCCCAGCGTTGCGACGCGAAGCCAGAGCGGCTGGCAGGAGGGAGGAGGACGAGGAGGAGGACCCCGAGAAGGGTGCGACACAAGAAAAGTCACAGCCTGAGCTCTAGACCCAATCTCTCTGTAATACTATACTTTTCGATCATGATCGATCTGTGATGGTCTCAGGGCCCAAGACTGGGCGAGAACGACCATTATGAAAAATTGCAACGCCCAGATCTCAGGGGACGTCCATGGTGGGACCGTTTCGCGGGAATCCTGGACAGCGGGCGCTTTGGAGCACCAAGCGGGAAAGGGAGGCGTACAGTGAGGAGGCGGGGGGGGGGGGGGGACAAGGGCGCGAGCGAGAGAGGACACGCGGGCGCGGGCTGTCGGTAGGACGCGGAAGCACAAATTGCTCCAGCAAGGCAGAGCACCCCGATAGCAGCAAAGGTGACGAGAGGAGCGGGAGGCCAGCTCTGCGGTCAGGAGCTCTCGGTCAGGGTGTTGCTCCGCCTGCTGTGGCCCACTGAGCCTCGGCGCGACGCGCTATCCACTGCCCGGGTCCCTGGGCGCCAACGTCCCGGGCTCGTCCCAGCCTCCCGCCCCGCGGAGCGGAGCGACACGCCACCCGCTCGCAGGGCACAGCGTGTCTCCAGGGCCGCCGCGGCGAAGCGCTGAGCAGAAACTCCCATCCGTGGCCGTCCGGGCAGGCGGTCCCCCCGGCTCCCCGTCCCACCCCCCTTCTGTGGGACTCTCCGGTGGTCTTCTTCGCCAGCGCTGAAAGTTTTGGAGCTTCACCGATGCAGTCAACCCGCAAGATAAGGATGAGCGACGTTCCAAGGTTGCCCCTGCATCCTCCCCCTTCGACCCATCCCTGGCCGCTTTGGTTGGCCGCGCCCCGCTCGCAAAGTGTCTGCATGGCCTTTTAAGGCCCTTGCATCCATATCGTGCGTCCTTATTATACGGGTTGGCTGATAGCGCTTGCGGCACACTCGGTTCTCTCTCAGGCCACGGTGCAGCGCATGAGTCCGCCTAGCTCGTTCCTGGTCTGCCTGACGACCCCTCGATTCGCACAGCGGTCGAGGCTGAGTCAGGCGAAGCCTTGTGGTCGCGGCCCCTGCTCGACCAAGACTGCTTGAACTGTTCCGGCGTGGCGCTGAACTGTTCCGGCGTGGCGTTGAAATTGCTCTGTGCGGCCTCTCGGGCCAGCGCCGGGCCCGCGCCGTCGACGCGCGAGCTGCGCAGCCCATTCGCCCGCCGCGGGCGGGCGCGGCCCCGAGCGCTGCGACGGCTCGGAGTGGGCTTCGGCCCCGGGCCCTGCAGTCGGCACGTCATGGTAAGACGTCGCCTTGCGTTCTGGGCTCGATTGGCGGCTGTCTTACTGGCACGGTGCTCACTGCCGAGGTCGGTGGATCTGCACCGATTGTTCTCCTGCATTGTCGTCGGTCCGACATCATCATCGTGGGTGAAGAAGAAATCGCATTGCAGGTGCCCCACGGCAGTGTCTTATCTCCCAATGGCACCAAGGGCCCACAGAAGCTCCCGGGCGCCCAAGGACCCTGAGGACACTACGAGATCGACGGAAAATGTGTTCCAACATGTCGCAGAGCAAGATTTCTCATCGCGCGTGTCTAATTACTGTAGGGAGCAGACGGGCTCTTCATCCCAGACGCGCGGGGACGAACGAGTCCTGCGAGAAGCTTCCTGGCACCTTGGACACGATCGCCCTCAGGTCCGCTTCAGTTTAAATGTCGCTCCGTGTGTCCCAGGCTCCGTATGGCTAAGCCGTCTTCGCGCGCGCCTCAGATTCCACCTCTGGTCAGCTTCCGGTTCCGCGCCAGGCTCCCGCGCTGGATCTCAGCTTCTCCTGGCACGTCGCGGCCATCCACGGGGCCCCCGAGGCTCAGACGAGCCTTCTAGAGCGCGAGATCCCTCCAAACGCGGCAGGCTCCCGCGCTGGATTTCAGCGTCTCCCTGCACGTCGCGGCCATGCACGGGGCCCCCGAGGCTCAGGCGAGCCCCCTAGAGCGCGAGGTCCCTCCAAAGAAGCAGCAGCCAAATACATTGTTCCCCGAGGGTCGGAGTTCGCGGGCGCACGCGAACTCGTACTCCAGCGCGCTCTCTCGCCCCAGCTCTTCCGCGCCCAGTCATTTGGGCTCGGGTCCCCCCCCTCCTGCCTCTTCCTCCCCATCTTCCGCTTCTGCTTGACTTCAGAGAACGCTTCAGGACCATGAATGGCCAATGCGCCGCCTGGCGCACGGTGAGGATTGGAGTGGAACTCTTGATCGGTGTGGGTTGCCCGAGGTCGCGGGTTGGACAGTAGAGCCTGTTGGCCCTTGTGCCACACTGCGCCCCAAGCTCTCGTTTTTTATTCCCCGGAGCGACCACGGCGGCCCTCCCTGCCGTGTTCCACCCGTTTTGGGGTTCTCGTCGTCCGGGCTGGGTCCGTCTCGGAAGACAGGCCAGGATGAACGCGGGAGGGGGGGAGGGGGGGAGGGGGGCAGGGGGGGAGGGGGGAGGGAGGGAGGGAGTGGGGGAGGGGGGGGGGGGGGAGGGAGGGAGGGAGGCAGGGAGGGAGGGGTGAGGGGGGAGGGAGGAGGGAGGGAGGGAGGAGGGAGGGAGGGAGAACCCATTTTGAGTTGAGTTGGGTTGGGCGAGGGAGCCGCCGTTGTCTCAATCGGCTCTCCTCGGCTTTCTTCAGGCGAGACTGTGTGGGACGAGGTGTCGGATCTTTCGGACATGTTGCCGATCGACGAGCTGGTGGAGCGCTTTGCCAAGACTAGGGGGCCACATGCGAACCCTACCCCTACCCCGCACGGTTTCTTAGGGGGAGGGTGGGGTTCACTTCGTTCGGGAGTTCCCGAGCGAAGTGAACCCCACCCTCCCCCTCAGAAACCGTGGGGGGTAGGGGTGGGGTTCGCATGTGGCCCCCTAAAGACGGCACCGGCCGCCAAGCCGAAGGTGCAGGAAGCCGTCGGCGAGAAGAAGAAGGACAGGATGCAAATGCTCTTGTTGCCAGCAGCCCGAGCTCTGTAGTACTATGCGTTGCCTGCTGCTGGAGATGCGCATCGACGGTGCCAACGTTGTCACAGCTAGATGGCCGAGTAGAAAATCACCCTGTCAGCATCTACTTCATCGGACCAAGTCTAGTATACAGCCTCCCTGGGGAGCCACAGCAACGGTGAGATCGGCACTTGGCACTTGACACGTGTGCATACATGTATGTTCCCCAAACAGCGATTGCACTTAGGAGCTCTTACCTGTTACTATGGAACTGGGCTGTCTGTCGGTCTGGCGGCTATGTTGCCGCCGTCGCCGCCCAGTCGCCGCCTCGTCGCCGCCCGTCGTCTGGGCCTGTCTGACGGTCTGGCGGGTGTGTTGCCGCCGTCGCCGTCCCGTCGACGCCCGTCGTCTGGGCCTGTTTGTCCGTCTGGCGGCTATGTTGCCTCCGCCGTCGCCGCTCGTCGCTGCCGTTAGATTGCACCACATAGATTGCACAAAGTCGGCCCCACAACCCAGCCTAGATTGCAACAAATATATTGCACAACATATGTTGCACCAGTTATATTGCTCCACAGAAAGTGTACTACTGATATTGCTCCCCATATAGCTTCCAGAATAGATTGCGCAACATAGGTTGCACCACCTAGATTGCAACACATGGATTCTCCCTTTCAAACATAATTCAGGATATACCCCCCTTTCGAGGGTGGATGTATCCGCCGCCCGGTTTGTCGTTTTGCCATTTGCGTACGAGTCTGCCCCAACGTCAAGAACGCATACCATCCCAGCCAGGCTTTTATCGACACCCCCCGCCACCCTTTCCAACAAATATGATGCGCGCACATGCGTGTATCAAAAACATCGGTTTTCAAGAGCCCGTTGCAAAACAAATGACGAAGTGAACACGCGCGCCTCGACGCGCGAGTGCATCCCGAAATCCTTCAACAACCTTAGGTTGCGTGAGGATTTCAACACTGGGTGGCCCGAAAACTTTTAAAAAGAAGCATATCGCTCTGGAACATCAGTTTGGGTGAGAAAATGTATTATATACATATATATACATATATATATATATATATGTATAAAGTCTGTGCGTGCTCCTGCGGGTTCTCAAGGAACCATAGGCGCATCAATCTGTTCATCAAAGTCGACCAAAAGGACCTTTCGCGCGTGCATGTGGGAACCATTCGAACGCCATTGTGCGCTTGCTGGGGAGAGCACGATCCCTGTCAAATGAAACCGTGCGGGCCACTCGCGCGCGTCAGCCGCACGCGCATGTCGAAATCGTTCCAACATTTGCATCACCGACGCGAGGACACCATCACCATCATCGCCGTGATCAGCATCGGCGCCGTCATTGGCCTTGCCGTCGTCACCGCCATCATTACCACCATAATCGCTACTATCAGCATCGTGTCTGCCGTTGTCGACGTCGCCATGATATCGCGCCCGCCTAATTCACCGACTCGCACGGAAGTGCCCGCGCGCCAGCGCGGCTTGCGAAACGCGTTGGGAAGTGCCCAGCGGTCAGCACCACCGCGGTCGCGTCGGTCGCGCCAAACTAGCTGACCGCTGTGCGCGCGAGCATGCACGGGCCAGCGCGGACGCACTGATGCACCAGCCATTAACACTCATCGCAATCGCGGCCGCATGGGCTTTGCAAACCAAGTTGCGGGCGGTTGGGCGGGATGATTGCGCGAGCAGTGGAGTTGACAATTCCAAGCCTTTCAAAATTAGTTGCACCACGCAGGCTGCATACGTAGTGCACCTTGTGGCTTGTCCACATAGATTGCCCAAGCTATATCTTCCTTTTTCACATAAAAAAGCGATTGGCTCTACCACCGTCCCCCCCCGGACTTATCGATTCCCCGGGCACCGATGCAAAACACTTATGATCATGACCCACTGCCCATCCGACTTGTGAGCTCATACTATCCCAGCCAGGCCCGTATCGGTATCCCTTTGGCTCTTTTGCAAAAAAACGCGGTGGCATTAGTTGTTATAAGATAGCACTTGTTCGCGAATCTTTCATGGAAAAGTGCCATGCGGGGCACACGTGCGCGGCCGCTGCGCGCGCATGTCAAGATCCTTCCAAGCACATTGTGCGTTCAACAAGTCAACATCCCGTTTCAAGGAGTTCGATGAAAACATACACCTCCCTCACCAATAAAATTTTAAAAATTTGCCCGCGCGCTCTTGCCGAATCTTTCAAAGCAAACTGTTGTTCAACATTCCTGTCAAATCGGGCTTCTTGGGCAACTTTTGCGCGCACGTCGATTTCATTGAACAACGGTCCCGCGACTGCCACGGCCACAATCCCTTGCAAAGAACACCATGCGGGGCACATGCGCGCGGCCGCCGCGCGCGCGCAGGTCGAAATCCTTCCAAACACATGGTGGCTTCAACACGTTCAAGACCGAGCTTCATGAAATCACACGAGTCGTACCATACATCTTTGAAACACACATCTGTAAACAATCAAAAGAATATACGCGCGCTTTTCGAATCCAAAAAAAGCGTTGTTTTCAACATCTCTGCCGCGCGAGCAACTTATGCGCGCGCGTCGAACGCTTTCAACATCGGCCGTGCGCCTGCCAGGGCCACAGTCCTTTGTAAAATATGCCATGTAGGGCACATGCGCGCGGCCGCCGCGCGCATGTCGAAACCATTCAAACACATGGTGCTTTCAACCATTTCAAGGCCGAGCTTCATGAAATAACACGAATGGTACCATACCTCTTCGAAACAAATCTGCAACAAAAGTCAAAGTGTCTACCCGCGCGCGTCCCAAACCCCTAGAAAACAAATGGTTTTCCGGAATTTCGGTCATGCGGACAACCTTTGCGCGCGCGTCGAAATCTTTTAAACATCGGTTCGCGCGCTTGCCAGGGCCACAATCCCTTGTAAAGAACACCATGCGGGGCACATGCGCGCGGCCGCCGCGCGCGGATGCCGAAATCCTCGTCGTCGTCGCCGCCGTCGTCGTCGTCGTCGTTGGCGTCGTCGTCGCCGTCGTCGCCGTCGTTCCCGTTGTCGTCCTCCCTCTTCCCTCGTCGTCGTCGGCGTCGGCGTCGTCGTCGTCGGCGTCGTCGTCGTCGTCGGCGTCGGCATCGTCGTCGGTGTCGTCGTCGTCGTCGTCGGTGTCGTCGTCGTCGTCGTCGTAGTCGTCGTTGTCGACGCCGTCGAAGTCGTCGGGCTCGTCATCGGTGTCGTCGTAGTCGTCGCCGTGGTCGTCGTCGTCGCTGTCGTCGTCGGCGTCGGTGTCGTTGCCAAGTGCCATCTTGTACCTACAGTCACGGTCTTGAGAGGTCTTGCGACCAAGTTGTTGGAGGGTGGGGTGCTTACACGAGCAGCGGAGAGGACAGCTTCAAGACAGTCAAACTTGAATTGCACCACATAAATTGCACCACAGAGAGTGCACCACCACGGGTTGCACAACAAGTATTGCACAACATAACATGCACAAGCAGTAGTGCAACACCTAGATTGCACCACATTGGCTGCTCCATATAGACTGCAGAAGCCATGAACTTAGAAAACACACTGTTCGGGCCCACGCTGGCTCACATACACACATATAGCTTGTGTGTACCACCGTACAAGATCCCGCCCATGTGTCTTATCGGAACCATGGGCCGTGCGTTTCAGGACTCCGAGCCCTGAGTTGCCGGCACGCAATGCCTAGAGGTAAAATGTGATGCGGGCGGGCCAGTGGTTGGGCCAGCTTAGTGTTGAAGAGGCCACTTCGCTCCACACTGTGAGTCTTGGTTGCGGTACGCACTCCTATTCCTGTCGAGTGTCATACTCCATGTCCTCCGCATAGTCCCGGCCTCTGTTCTACGATTTGTTCAAGATGAGCACTACTCACCTCTCTCCCGTGAGAACGTTCCACTGTTTACCCACTCCTCCCGGGAGCCCCGATGCCTTCGCAGGCTGCTGTACCCTAACAGGGCGTCCAAGCAGGGTCCTCGCCGTTGTTGTGGGCGGGGGGCGCCGGAGTTGTTCAGGGGTCGTTTCGGGGTGCCTCCGGGAGGTGAGGGCCCCTCGAGGCCCGAGAGGGGCGTCTCTGCCCCGCGTGTTGTCCAACGCGCCAGTCTTTGTATGGTAGGCGGTGCTACGGTCTCAACGAGGAGCGCGCCCGTGCCCTTGGCAGGGCTGCCGAGTTTCAGGCCGAGGCCGACTCCAAAGGTGAGTTTTTCTAGGGGGTGCCTTGTCGTGGCCCCTACGGCGGGGATGAAACCCGTCCTGGGGGCCAACGAATGTCACTCTGATGGGCACGCCCCGGTCTCTCTCTCTCTCTCTCTTTCTCTATGGATTCTTCTCTCTCTCTCTCTGTCTCTTCCCTTTGTGGGCGTCCAATCATCATCATCATCATCATCATCATCATCATCATCATCATCATCATCATCATCATCATCATCATCATCATCATCATCATCATCATCATCATCATCATCATCATCATCATCATCATCCTCAGATTCCTCCCTCGTCCTCCCGTCCATGAGCCACCGCATCCTCCTTCTCATCCAATGCACAAGGTCCCCTGTCCCGATTGCACAGCAAACGATGGGCCAAGTCCTGCAACTGCAGTTTCTGGGTCCAAAAGATTGGAAGGGGGAGGGAGGAGGACAGATGTGGCGCGAGCGAGCCTCGTTTGCCGCTCACCCCTCTCCGCTCCTCCTTGGCCCTTCCTTCCCCTATGGTCGCATGTAGGTTGCTTGCCTGCGAGACTTGCGCACTCTCCGAGCGGGTCTGGCGGCCAGAAGATCCAGTACATCGAGGTCATCACGGACCCTAAGGCCAGACAAAACAAGGAGCTGGCCCTGAACAAGTGCCCGCCAGCACCCGAGGTGGGCAAGCTGATCGAGGAGCGCTCCGCGGGGTTCCGCGACGCCGAGATTTGTCCCAGCGCTCCTGTGCGTTGGGTCCTCGTTGTGAATTCGCAGCGCCGCATCCCACCTCGGCATTCTTCCTCCGCTCCCCCCTCTCCTCTTTCCCCTCACCCTTGTCATTAGCGTAATCTTCATCGTCATCATCATAGTCATTGTCAGCATCGTCACCCTCATACCCGTTACCGCCATCATCATTCTCATCACCGTTTTACCAAGCCCCTCACACGTTTCGTTGTTCCAGAGCTCCACCGACGGCCCCAGTGACAGGGTCCGCATGGGTACTCGGCATGGCTACTCGGGTTCATACTGGCTCACCCCTCACACGCTTCGTGGCCCCCTTGGGGGGCTCCACCGAAGGCCCCAGTAGCAGGGTCCGCGTGGGTACTCGGGACCAATATGGCAGACCCCTCACATGGTTCGTGGCCCCTCTGGTAGCTCCACCGAAGGCCCCAGCGGCAGGGCCCGTATGGTTAATCCGATTCATTCTGGCACACCCGTCACGCGCTTCGTGACCCCATGGGGGCGCAATCGAAGGCTTCAGTGGCAGGGTCCGTATGGTTACTCTGGTCCATTCTTGCATACCTCTGACACGGTTCGTGGCCCCATAGGGAGTTCCAACGAAGGCCCCAGTGGCAGGGTCCGCATGGCGATCCCGGTCCATTCCAGCACACCCCTAACACGGTTCGGGGCCCCATCGGGAGCTCCACCAGAGGCTTCAGTGGTCCGCATGGTTACTCGGATCCATTCTGGCACACCCCTCACACGTTTCGTGGCCCCATAGGGAGCTCCACCGGAGGCTTCAGCGGCAGGGTCCGCATGGTTATCTTGGTCCATTCTTGCACACCCCTCACACGTTTCGTAACCCCTAAGGGAGCTCCACCGGAGGCTTCAACGGCAGGGTCGGCATGGCTACTCGAGTTCATACTGGCACACCCCTCACACGGTTCGGGACCCCATGGGGACTTCCACCGAATGCCCCAGTGGCAGGGTCCGCATGGCTACTGAGATCCATTCTGGCACACACACACACACACACACCTCACACGTTTCGAGGCCCCATAGAGAGCTCCTCCGAAGGCCCCAGCGGGTGGGTCCACATGGCGACTCGGGCCCATTTCGGCAGGCCTCGTTCTTCGCTTGCGCGGCGGCTTGTAGGAAGACAGCCAGGGTCGTCGCCGCGCAGTTTGGCTTCGAGGAATTCCTCCGCGCGGCTTGGGCCTGAGACGGCCCGGGACTTGTTGTCTCGCGTTGCAGTGGCGCCGCCCCCGTTACAGTTGAATTCCACCGTCCGGACCTGCATCGCAGGGGCGCATTTGCGAGCTGTCGTTGATGTTTCCGACAGTAGGAATCAAGATCCCTCCATCCTTCATCCTGCTCTCTCGGCCCTCGTCCTCCTGCAGTGCGGCGTATTCGTCGTCATGTTCCTGTGTCCGATTTGAGTTGCGAGAGTGCGTGCGTGAACGGGGCGGCTTTGAGTGTATGTAGTTTTCCGTTTCTTGGCAACGCGTTGAGGGTTCTGCTGACCCGCCAATATGTTGATGTGCATTGAGCGTTCGTGCCATTATTTGCCACGCGTTCACAATGGGTTGGGTTCTTCGTCAAAGTAGCTCTCGAAGCGTCGACCCCCAGACGTTTTGAACGCTTCACCGGACCAGCTTCTCATCCCCAGTCGTTTTGTACACACCCAGGGCCTGGCAAGGGTCCCCCTGGAGGCCGAAAACGACCAGAAGCCGTCCGTCGCGATTGTTCGCGACGCGAGGCTGTTTGGGACGGTGGCTCCACGAGGGCGAGGAGCAGCAGCGCCGCGGGCGCGCAGCGCTCACGACGCCGGCGGGGCGCGACGGGATCCCCGCCCCGGCGCGCGCGCAGCCGGGGGCAGCAGCAGGAGCCGGGGCAGCAGGAGAACAGGGAGCGCGTGGGCGGCGACGCTCGCGCTACTCTTCGGATCGCGCGCCGCTCCGCCGGTTCTGGCACCACCGCGCGCCAGGGGCGACACGCTGGCCACTTCGCGGGCCCGGAGCGTCAACGTCCAGGGAGCAGTGCAGGTGCCTGAGCATCGAAATTCTTATATCCGTGCGGGTCCGTCGGATCGGCGCCGGGGGGCCCCGGCGGCACTTCTGGCGGAGCGCGCCAGGGCGGGGGGCCCAGCGCCGATCCGAGGAGTCCGCGCGGACCTCCGAGTTGTTCCCCAACCTTCGTTTTGTTTTGAATAGGGCACTGCAGTCGAGTCTCCCTCTCCTTCTCCTCCCCCTCATGCCTCCTGCCTCCTACTTCCTGCCTCCTGTCTCCTCTTCCTTTTTGTTCCTCCTCCCTTCACTCCTTCGTCCTGCTTGCGCCGCTGGCCACCTTCGTGTGGGGCTCTCCCTGTCGCCACTTCCGCGGGGTCTCAGAAGGTCCAGCGGAGTGGAGTGGTATGCCGACCCTCTTGGGACCTCGCGGCTCCCTGCGCGGCTGCGGAATATTCAACTGTCGCCACTTTCGTTGGCTATTGGGAGGTCAAGCGGAGTGGAGTGGTACGCAGACCCAGTTGGCACCTCGCGGCTCCATGCGTGGCTACGAAGTGCGCAATTGTCGCCACGTTCGTGGGCTCTGGGAGGTCGCGTGGAGTGGAGTGGTGCGGGGATCCAGTTGGGACCTCGCGGCTCCCTGGGGGGGTGCGAAATGTGCATTTGTCGTCAGTTCCGTGGGATCCTGGGAGGTCGCGCGGAGTGGAGTTGTACGGAGATCCAGTTCGGACCTCGCAGTTCCCTGGGGGGCTGCGAAATGCGCATTTGTCGCCACGTTCGTGGGCTCCTGGGAGGTCGCGGCGAGAAATGCAAGTGACCTCAAGCATTCGCATCCAAAATGGCAGGGGGTTCCATGGCGCGCGGTGCTGTCCTGTCGCGCAGCGCTCGGCGCTGTCGCATCGCAGCTCACGGGGAGCCACTGTGCCACGCAGCGCGTGGCGCTGTGTTTTGTCCGCGTGGCCTCCCAGCCTCAGCCGCCTCTTGCCCGCCATGCCACGCCGCACGCTTGCCTCCCTCAGCGCGACGCGCTGTTCTGTTATAGGACGAGCGCATGGCGCTGCTCTTCCCCGCGCGTGTAGCGATCGGCGTTGCTGCTGCTACTGAACAGGTATATCCACTATTCACACCGATCTGTATGTTTATGCTTCCGTCTTCATTATGATTATTATTGCGTGTTCTTTTGCGTATATCAGCGAACTCAAGCGCATTGCGGGTCCTTCAACATGTCTGCTCGCAGTGAGTGGTCCTTTTTTTATATATATATATATATATATATATAATATATATATATATATATATATATATATCGGAGATTGGGGGTGAGTCCGACGTCAAACGGAGACCACCCTTACCCGGAAATCGATTTCGGTTTCGGGTTCGTGTCGTGCGTGCCGTGCGTGCGCGCGGGCGAGGCGAAGCTGCGTGGGCGGGCGAGAGGAATCCCTCCTGTGGCTGGGTCGCGGCCAGACCAAATGTAGCTCCTCCGGCGGCCGGTGCCCCGCGGTGTCCCGCCAGTGTCCCGCAGGAGTCCCGTGGGTCTCCCGAAATCCTCCTGTGGCTGGGCCGCGGCCGGACCAAACGTAGCTCCTCCGGCGGCCAGTGCCCCTCGGTGTCCCGCCGGTGTCCCGCGGGTGTCCCGAAATCCTCCTGTGGTTGGGCCGCGGCCGGACCAAATGTTTCTCCTCCGGCGGCCGGTGCCGCGCGGTATCCCGCCGGTGTCCCCTTGTGGCTGGGCCGCGGCCAGACCAAATGATGCTCCTCCCGTCAAACGGTGGCCCGCGGTGTCCCGCTGGTGTCCCGCCGCTGTCCCGCCGTGGGTTGCGCATTTCAGGTGAGGTTCGTGCGATTGATAAGCGCACGCGGGGACAGCGCTTCACGACGATAACGAGTGCGCTTCGCCAACATCGCCACATTACATCACGCTTACGTGCACAGTCGCACTACTCACTAGACTCCGCACCATAGGCATCGTCAAAACAACCATCACCACTTTTGCTCAGTGCTGCCCCCCCAACCTCCTTATCACCCGCAGGGTGGTCGTATAGGTATACATGGGTAGGGGGTCCCGGGCCCCCCAAAGTCCACTGATTTGTCTTCCGGCCGTTTCGGCCCGGCGGGGGGCGCCAAAAAACGTCAAGGGGGGCCGGAGACGTCCAAGAGGACGCCAAGGTGAGCCAAGAGCGCTCCAAGAGAGCCCAAGACCGCACAAGAGCGTTTCAAAGTTTGTCCAACATGGCTTGACGACAGCCCAAGAGGGCTTCAAGACGGCCAAGATGTCTTCAACAGAACTCCGACGAGGCGTTCAGGAGGCGAAACAAATATGTTGTTGTTCGATGGTTTTTGAGAGGTGCGTCGTGTTCTCGCCGTTTCGTGCTTCCGACGGTCCAAGACAGCCCACGAGGCCCCAGAAATCAGTTCAAGACGGCCCAAGAGGCGCCCAACGAGGGCGCCACGACGGCGCAAAAGAGTCCCAAGACGGCCCAAGAGTGCCCCAAGACGGCCCAAGAGGCGCCCAAGACCGTTCAAGAGTGCTCCAAGACGGCCCCAAGAGGGGGAACACAAACCTACAATGCGTGCCTTCCGCCCTAAGAGGCTTCCAGGAGGCCCCAAAAGGCCCCCAACAGAGCCCAAGAGGCCCCCTAGAGGCCCCACGCGGCTCCAAAGGGGCCCAAAAAGACGCCCCACGAGCACCCCAAACGGCCCCCAAGAGGTTTCCAAAACTGCCCTCAAGGGGCACCCGGGAAGCCTCCCACGAATTCCAAACGAATGTCCAAGAGGCTTCTAACCCACAACCCAGGCACGGTGGCGAGATGGGCCGAAAGCCATTATCCGCCGCCCCCTGTTGATTCATCACAGGGGTGCCTGGCGTTCTAGATCCTTTCGGTTTTGGTTTTAGTTCTTGTTCCCATAAAACTCCCCTCTGGGGCGT